AGAGAGAGAGAGAGAGAGAGAGAGAGAGAGAGCGTGTGAGAGAATGACAAGACAGAGACAAAGGCAGACAGAGAGAGAAAAACGTCTGTGGTGCAAGGGGGAGGGAGGTCTGCATAATATGATTTTATGTTATAGGCAGAGGCGTAACGAATCGAGGAAGATAATGGGGGTGAAGAAGTACGCCAGACGACGTATAAAATTACATTTTACAATGTATGCGCGCACATGTGTCGTGTTTGTCCTTCGCATATCTGTCTTTTGTTTCTTTCCTCCTTGGTCTCGCCTTTTAACTGCGGAAGCGAAACACAGCCTTCTCCTCCTCTCCCGCTAGGCTACCTGTCTAGTGTAGTTTCTGCCTCTCTCAGAATCCCCGAATGAACGAACGTCCGACAAACGAACGAATGCGTAACGCCGCGCCGCACCCCCTCTCGTGTTGGGCCGACGCATGCGCTGAACACACTCAGCCGTCGTACACTCACTGCGTGACCTAGATTCCCCCGCCGCCGCAACACATCAATACTCGTTTACTCACACAGCGCGTCAGCCGTCTAGTGTCTGGTGTTTGGAGGGGCGTGTGTGTTGTGTGTGTGTGTGTAGCCTGCAGTGTCTCTTTCTCTTTCCGAGGGAAGGACACATTATATCTCTTGAGAGTTGTTTCTTGCCCAGTGTCGACTTGGCCTAACATTCCAGCGTCCGGTGGGGATTCTGTGTTGTTGTATACAAATTTGTGGTTTTTGTTGGTGGTATTTTGTGTGGCCTTCACATTTTCTCTGACGTGTGCGAAGCAAGGAGGCGGCACGGGCACAGAGGAAAGGGACGTTTCTCATTGAGTGAGGTTGAACTTCAGCCTTTCATTGAAGGAGATTGTCACGAGAGTGGATCCCCTCTCCCTCTCTGTCCTGTCACACTCTCTGGATACGTTTGTCATCAGTGGGCAGTGAGTGTCGTCACCAAGCACGTGAGCACTCACCTCTAGTCTTACTCTAGATCTTTGACTTTGAGGGCCCAGAATTTGCTAGAACGGTTGTCTTGTAGCTCCGTTGAGGGCGTTCATTCGTCCTTTATAATAATTATAAAGACAGATTTAAAAGGAAACGAGTGACCCTTTATTAACGCAGTGGGTGCATCATCAGCGCATGCATACGCACAGTGGAGTGATAATCTTTGGATCTATTGGCCATTATTATTGAGCTATCATCGATAGAAAGGAAACTCGTGCAGACGTCATGGTGAGTCTTTTTTTTTCGAACTCTTAACAAAACAAAATCATTTCCGCATTGCACATTAATATAATCACATTCCATGCATGCCCTCCTGCATTTCAATTTCATAATGATTTGATGTTTTGGCAATTTATACTTTTAAAAGCAATTGATTTGCAAGGGTTTTAGAGTGGCCATACACGTGTGTTCGACAGCAAAAACTAGATGGCAGTTTACCCTCAAATTAAAATCAATGCTTCTGAGTGGGTGCATAATAAAAGTAAAAATTTTATTGGTCCTGAGCAAGTCTATCTCCACTAAGAACAATAATATATTTCAAAAACTATTAATTTTAATTTGCGACGGAAATGGAGTTGATATTCGTGTTCAACGCATCGATATTTTGTAGAAAATGGACAACTGGTTGATCAAGTTAAGTTTGTATGACGGGAGGGAAAGTAAAAATATACCATTCAAAGTTAGTCATCTTTCACAGCCGTTTTGATCTCTCTCTCTCTCCATGTGTGATGCGTGTGCGTGTGTGTCGAATTTAACAATTCGTGTCGCTTTCTTCCTCCCCCACCCACCCCGAACGCACGTCACACCCACACACTCACATGATACGCAAGCTTAGAAGTACACGCATACACACTGCTCTGACGGGCAGAGTTGCGCGTGTGTGTGTGTGTGTGTGTGTGTGTGTGTGTGTGTGTGTGTGTGTGTGTGTGTGTGTGTGTGTGTGTGTGTGGTGTGGTGTGCATGCATTGTGTATATGTCATGTGAGTGTGCGTGCCCGGGCACGCGTTCATTCGTGCTGTTTGGCGTTTTGGGGTGTGTGTGTGGGCCGTGGGGTGTGTGGGGGAAGCAAAAAAGCAACACGAATTGTTAAAACTTCTCCAGTAGCTCTGTCATTAGTTGCTTGCGGTACCTCTATTTAATTTGCAGAATCGCAGGCCTAAGCCAAAGCCTCCCACTTCCAACGTCAGGCCTGTGTTACATTGTACATATAGTAGTTGTATGCGTGTAGTGTATCCCACACTGACTGTGTGTGCATTTGGGTTCCCGACGTTGTTTTCAAACATGTTCTTTTACTCTTTGTTTCGTCCACGTCATGCTTGGTATCATTCACGATATCGATATCACATCCTGCTGTAGGCTTCTAAGCCTTTTTTGGTCTGTCTGTCTCGTTCTTTCTCTTTTTCCTGTCAATCAATCTCTCTCTCTCTCTCTCTCTCTCTCTCTCTCTCTCTCTCTCTCTCTCTTTCTCTCTCTCTCTCTCTCTCTCTCTCTGTCTGTCTGATGTCTGTCTGCCTCTCTCTTTCTCCTAAATCAATGCCCCCTCTCTCTCCTCTGTCTCTGTTTGTTCTCTCTCAGTCTCTCTCTCTTCCCCTTCCCTTTCTTTCTCTTTCTCTCTTGGATCTCTCTTTCCTCTCTGGCTGTCTACACCTTCTTCCCACCTACCTCCCCCCTCTCCCTTGCCTCTTTTGTGTATTCTCTCTCTCTCTCTCTCTCTCTCTCTCTCTCTCTCTCTTTCTCTCCCCCTCTCTCTCTCTCTCT